ATCTTGTATGCTGTGATTGATATTGTCAATTTCGCACTGCAACAGTAACATATAACAGCTGTAAGCATTTGAAAATCATATAAAATTTGTGCTAAGCTTTTCACAGTGTGTGTGTGTAGACTTGTGTCAAGAGAGGGGGGTTGGGAGGGAAATTAACTATGTACAGATGTAAACTGCTTAGCTTCTACAGATGCTTATGTCCACCTACATGCTTCCATGAATAACTCAATAAACATTCACACAGTTATTAATTTCCATTTATCCTACYCTGTAATAAATTCATACAATTTTTCCATCTTTATAAGTTATTAACTGAAGCGTTTATATGCCAAATTCTGTTGCTAGACTGATAAATTCCAAATCAAAAACAYATAGGTTTATTGGCTGGCTATACACTAAGTTATTTGGTTCAAATTCCTAAAGAGGAAAAAAAATTATTACCTTTCTCTGCAGTTTCTTCGCGACATGTTTACTGTCGTCTTCCCACAACTTGTCCTCTTCTTCGCGCTCTTTTTTCTCTTTCTCGGCAGCTTTTGCCTCTAATTTTCTACTCCGAGCTTCTTCGGCTTTCGTATTCACTCCTTTGAATTTCTTAGGCATTTTTTTGAAGCCAGGAAATAAGAAAAACCTAATAAAATAAAGAGGAATTTCAAGAAAAGTTGTAGTAAAATCTCAGCTGCTCTTGCTCTTGTATGAAAAAAGGAAAACTGGTACTATGCATAAATTAAAAATGGCGCGACACGAAAATATTTTTTTTGAATATTGCTTTTTAAAAACAATACCAAAAGACTACTTTTTAAGTTTCCGGTCTATATTACGAAAAGGGTAATAAGATTTGATCAGATCTCTGATTTAATTTTATCAAACATTTTAATCAAAGTTTAAGAAAGTGTACTTTTTAGAGCATGGGTTACCTGTGGTGTGCAGCCAGTCATCCAAGATGGCCACTGGGACTGGATCTTTACCAAATTTTAGCTTCTTGAAAAATATTGTAAGGGACCAGTTAACAGACGTCCTAGAATCGGTGAGTAAGTTAGTAACAAACCAAAAGGTTTAAAAGTGCTATTTTGTTGTTGTTTTTATTGTACTTTTTTTTGTCGTCGAAATGCGGAACTGCAGTGCAAGGTACTGATTGCTAGCCACACATCCCTAAGTTTTGCCTGTCCACTGTTTGATAAAAGTTTTTCTATTCACTGAACATTATTTGTATTTCTTTTGGATGAATAAATGGTGCTTTGCGCAGTGCTGCTGGTTGGACAAAAATTGTAGGTCTAAGAAGAAAAAAACGCTATTAATTTGAAGAAGTAATCTTTATGAGCTTAGTTTGTGAGCAATGAGTAAAGCTTGAAAATTTAATAAACTTACGTTAAAATTTTTATTGCAATTTACATCCCAAAACTACCATTTCCAAAATATTTGCATGCTATAGTACGATTTTTCAATCTTATTATCCATGGTATTAGAGAGAAGTGTGGGTTCATTTGGTAGTTTTAGGCCATAGAGAAAAGTTGTCTCGAGGACCTGAGACAGCCCGTCCTTCTCCCCCTCAGTTAGCCTTGGCAAGCGAGCTAATTATTCATATCTTTCTTTAAAAAATTCTACCTACTATTTACATAAATAACTTAACTTGTTTCARTTAAATGAGACAACTTAGGGAGTGAGACAACTCGTCTCGGCTGGTAGGGCAAACCTGGGAGGCAGGACAAATTTTTCTCATATGAACACTTATCTCACATACTAGGAGTTAGACAGCTCAAACTAGGGCCRTCATTATGGCTCTCAATTATGTAACCTTGCCTAGAGAAAAATTCAGTTTTACTGGAGAAATGAAGCTGCCTCAGATCCAAGACAACTTTTCTCCATATGAATGGGACCTTAGATGTGAGGGCTCGGAGAAGTAAATTTATGTAGTGTCAATATGTAATGTCATTATCTGTGGAAATAGGGTGGGGTAGGGAGGGTGAARGGGGATGTGGTACCCTATTTTTGGAATAAGGGAGGGGAGGGAGAGAGGATTTTATGTCTCATATTGGACAAGAGTGAGGAGAGAGAAAAGGAATAAGACATTTGCTAGTTTATGGTGGAAAGAAAGGGGGAGGGGATRGTCAGGAAAGGGGTTGTGGTTTTATGTATGGGAGATAAGAGGGGCAAAGGTCAATTTGTATAGTGCTATGCGTGAGGCAGGGAGAGGCAGGAAGAGAGAGAAAAAGTTTTTTTTTCAATTTGAGATTTTGCCCGCAGGCTGGTGCTGCACAATAGGACTCAGGGTCCCTTTGAGGTACATTGCACCAATTTCCAACCCCATAAGATCCCCATACCCATCCCACAATCAATCCTTCAAGAAATCATTAGTAAAGGCCAGACACTGAGGGTTAAACTGCCAGGGAGGGAATGGGGAACAGAAAAAGGGATGAATGTAAATCCTATAAAAACTTCAAAAAAAAAAAAWAATAATAATAAATTAGTGGATGTTACCACACTTTTCTACTTCCCTCAAAGTTACAGTCTTCAAGGGATAACTAATTTTAGTCATTTGTTGAATGAATAAGTTTCCAGGGAAGAAAGATCTTGTCATTGATCCAAAGTTAATGAAACCGCTAGACCATGTAGCTGGTGCAACATTTCTCAAGGTAAAATAATTCACCAACTTTTTATTCCTTATGATCTTATTATTCTTCTAAATTAATAATAAGTAGTTTTCTGAATTGGTATTTTAACATGTTTTTGATTTTTTTWAAATATTTTCCTTTCCTCATGTAAATATGATGTTGTTGTTTCTGCTAATAAATATGGCTTCCTCTATGCAGTACATTTACTGCAATTTTCATAAACATGCATACTCTGTGTCTGCGATTTGGACACTGAAATTTGGTTTTACGATACATATCCATAATACTCTCATATACGTCTCGTACGCTCAACTGTTCCAATCACCCACTGCCTTAATATTTATTTATTTTATGCTATTTATTTATATCTTTTTCATCATTTTTCTTCAATCATTTTTCACATACGAACCGCCCCCCCCTCCCCACCACTTCCCCCTTTGCTTGAGTCCGAATACCTGTGTGAAACATAGCGTTTGTCGGGTTTTTAATACCTGATGAATCTATGTTTTTAAATATGAAAGGTACCAACTGATTAGGTTTGATTGACCGAAGCAAAAAACCAAATTTCAGCGTGCAGCTTGCAGACACAGAGTTCGCATTTTTATGAAAATTGCATTAAACCTTCCATGTTCGATCTGCTTGCAGGACCATGGTGTCAATAAGATTTTCAAATTAGAGAAACAGAAGTTAGATGTGGAATGCGATAAGTAAGTGTAAAAAGAGTTGCATGTACTTTTATATATTCTTCCATCAATTTATTCATATCCATTGGTTTATCCATTTATCCATCAATTCAACCACCCACCCACCCACATACCCATCCATCCATCCATCCATCCATTCACCAATACATCTATCTATGGATTTATCCATCCATCCATCTATCAATCCATCTACCCATTTTATTCATTCCTTTATCTTTCCATTCTTCCACTAGACGTATTTATCTGTTAAGGCCAAGTATGGTCCTAACCCGATACGTAGCAGGTAAACCATTTACCATTATACTTTTWAAATTATTGTTGATGTATCTTATCTTAAAACTACCAATTACTCATATGAACCAAATGATTATTTGATAATTGTATTAAGAAATTTTCTTTAATATCAAGATCACATCAACAGTGACAAACAAAACCATGTAACAAGAGAATATAAAATTGTATTTGCACCAAGAAAGGTAAATCAAGAAAATTGAAATTTTAAAAGTGCAGCAATATTAATGAAAGTTGTTCTAATTTAGTGAAATTTTAAATTAATTTTTAGATGTACGTGTGTGAAATGGTTTTAGAGCAAGAAGGGGTCTATGGAGGTGAGTTGCTGTTTTTTATTCATATCAAAATACTGTATGCTTCTTTAGTGTTGATAAGGTCAGCTTCTTTAAATTTTATTGCTACCCTGAACTAACATCTGGGCTGATCAAAGTCATGGCAATGCTCTGAAAAAGGACTAAAATTACTACTCTTCCTAGTAGACTGAAGCAATTGTGATTTTTTTTATTGCCCTCGTASCTTCAGTTATGTTAATCGCAAAAGCATTTCAAATTGACCATGCGTTGCCAATGTTGTACGTGGACAATTTTTTTACTCCACCTGATAATAACTTGACTGCACTTGGATCACAATGTGTAAAAAACTCGTCCATGTGGTACAACATTGGTGTCACATTGTCGATTTGAAATGCACTTGCGGTTAACATAACAAAAGCTACGAGGGTGATAAAAAAATTACAGCAGCCTCGGTTTACTTGAAAGAGTATAAGGGAAAGGCCTGATGGCCTCTACTTATTATGTGATGGCTGCTGGTCTGGGAATCAAACCCAAGACTCCAGAGGTGAGGGATGAGTCCCCTTGTGCTACACCACCCTTGATCGCCCTGTAAGTATGTATGATGTGCGAAAACCCCTGTGGTATTCATTTCATTACTGCAAATGACTTACTTTTTTTTAATCATTTACCAGATGCAACACTAGATGAACTTGCCTTTGACATCATCCCACTAGAYCAAGATATATTATCATTGGAGTTACCAGAATTCTTCAAAGATTTCTTTTTGGTAATAACCTTTCTTGCATCTTTACTCTTCAATATTAAATCTACAGTAACTCTAAAAGATGATACAATGCATAATTTAATTTGGTGAGAGGCAGTGCACAACACCTTTGCTTCCTTAAGCCTGATTCACACTAGSTTTAGAATTGGAATTGCAAGCAAAAAGTCTTTTCACACCTAGGTGATAAATGCGTTACTGACTGTGCATGGGTATGTTGCTAATCCAACACTAGCATGAACCAGGCTTAGTCRTAGAAGTTTGTTCTGTAGCAACCATGACCTAATGATGTAAGACGCTTTTACAATTTTACATTTTTTAATGACAAGTTTTTTATGATTTCCCTCACCATTTTCCATTATTTCACATCAGATATGTTCATGCTGCATTCATGCCCACTTACATTCTTACATTTCCTTTGACTATCAATGCTTTTGTTCTTTTTTTCCTTAGGATGGTGATCAGAGCTGGGTGTATTCAATAGCAAAATCGCTAATGATATTGCAATCAATGTATGGCACTATACCAGAAATATATGGATTGGGTCRCAGTGCAAAGGTAACATGAATGACAAGCTCTATCTTAAGGGTAGTGGACATATGATGACTGCATTTGTTTTGTTTAATTCTTGTGTACAACCAGAAATCTATTAGACAATTAAATGGTTTGCAAATCTAATCATTTTGCCAAACTGCCCACCTACGATACTTTCAACTACAATTTATCATTGCTCCTCATAAGTTTTCAATACAGCTGACATCTTAGAATTTTCCCCACCTTTTTAGATGGTAATGGAGATTCTTGAGGATCTAATTAAAGAAGAGGGTGAATACAAACCAGTAGATGGACCAGAAATTGGCAGTCTTATTATTATTGATAGAGGTAATTTTTTAAGACATTCCAATTGACTAGTTCCTTAAACGATGGCCGCATTATTAGTAAAAAGGTCTATTCTATTTTGGTCTGGCGTCATTAGCCAATGGCTTGGGAGAGAAATCATGCAAACTTTTACAAACTTTTATAGAAGTTCTTTTTTGGTCATCTCAATTTTGATGGGTTACCTGTGGTGAGTAGCCCACCACAGATAACCCAGTATTCTCCTTTCATCAACTGAAGGGTTTTTGTATTAGCTCAGATCAAGTAAACATTGTATGGATGTTTTCTTTCTAGATGTAGACCTAATAACTCCTTTATGTTCACAAGTCACCTATGAAGGGTTACTAGATGACACCTTCGGCACAAAAAGTGGTAAATAAATTGAAATAATGTGGAAGAACATGCATATTAGAATATTTTTCGTATAAGATTATATATTAATACCATTATATATGGCAAAGATTTTGCAAAAACTGCAAAATCTTTACATAAAAAACTTTATTTATTGCTCTTCATTCTTTCTTTATTTTAAGGTTTTATAGAGTTCGGTCCCGATGTCACTGGAAAAGACCAGACTGCCAAGCTTTTATTAAACTCAAATGATGCGGTTAGTTGTTCTCTGTTAGTAATCAATTACCCATGCTTTTCAAGAGTTACTGGTTGACAACTGAATGATCTACTGAAGAGAATGACACATGATCTAAACGTTGACAGCCCAGCTCTGAAATATATTTACTAAAAAAATGATATGTCTTGTCATCTTCAGGTCTTTAGTGATATTAGAGATCGTCACTTCTCAAATGTATTTGGATATCTCAGTCAAAAAGCTAAAGTATTACAAAGTGGCTATGATGTAAGTATGGRCAGTTTACTGCTTTGGGCTTCCTTTGGTTAATAGCAGTAGTACACTCACCTCTTGGGTTCTTGGGGTCTTGGGTTTGATTCCTGGACTTGACAGTATGTGAGTAGAGTTTGTCAAGGGCGGATCCAGCCAAAATTTGGGGGAGGGGCACTAATTGAGTTTATTTTTTCCGTCAACACAACGGAAAGAAATTAAAAAAGCATTAATTCTTCAGTTTTGTTTTGTTTTGTTTTGTTTTGTTTTCCTGGATCTGCCCTTGTTTGTTGGGTCTCTTGATCCAAGGGCTTTTTTTTAGGTTTAATTTAGTTATATATTTTTTGCTAAATTCCAATTCCATCTGTGATTTAACATCAGTGGCCTAAATTTGATCAGCCCAGAGGTTTTGCAGGGTATTGGAAAAATTTGAAGGACTTTGTTGGATGAAGTAGACAGCGAGTAAATCAGTACTACTAGCAGTAATAAATGCATTGTTTTGTATTAATGGCTTCTTGTCATATTTTCTTTCTTTCTCTTATTGGCCTTTTTTTTTTTTTTGATTTTCACTAGAAAAGACATGAATTGTCTTCTGTGACAGACATGAAGAATTTTGTATCAGTAGAACTGAAAGATCTAAGACAACAGCACAAGTCTCTTGCACTGCGTATGTATACAACTGTTAAGGTCCATAAAATATTCCTATCTTATCCCAAAGACCTGTAGTTCCATAATAGTTTTATCTTTTTATGGACCGGTATCCTAAAAATCAAGCGTTTTGATTGGCTGTTGGAGTGGGCAGCATTTTCTTTCTCTGACTGAAGTCCAGTATCCTATCCAGAGGCATAGGCACGGGGTTAAGGGGGCAAGGAAAAAAAATCCAACTCAAACAWAATGCAGATTTTTGAATTTGGAATTTTGAATGAGACATGTTTGTTTTATCAGATATTGGTGCTTGTGAGGTGGTCCTGAAGAAGAAAGCAAATGAAGACTTTGAGAGACTTCTTCAAACGGAACATAGTAAGTTATTACAMTTTTTCATCTTTTGTGGGATCCCTGTGGCTTGTCATGTTTTTATTGCCACAGGTAGCCCATTAGTAAAAAAACTAATCTTAAAAGAGATATCCAAGGCCCAGGAGTCAACGGTGGCTGTGAGCCACCTTCTCATTGACAGTCTATTTTGTATGTTAATGTTTTTTGGGGGGAGAGAAGAAAGGGATAATTTGCTGAGATTTAAGTAGGGAGTAAGTACCAGGGAAAATCCTGGATACATGAAAAAAGCCGTTTTTATATGAGTGGGAGTCATACAGTACTGACTTACAGCACATACACTGTACAATGTGCCATAACATAGAAATGGCTTCCCATTATCTTCCAATAAGTCATCCAATCACGGTTTGTAGTTACAGTACTGACTTACAGCACGTACACTGTACAMTGTACCATAGAAATGGCTTTCCATTATCTTCCAATAAGTCATCCAATCACGGTTTGTAGTTACAGTACTGAATTACAGCACATACACTGTACAGTGTGCCGTAACATAGAAATGGCTTTCCATTATCTTCCAATAAGTCATCCAATCACGGTTTGTAGTTACAGTACTGACTTACAGCACGTACACTGTACAATGT